CCCCCACTAATCCCAGGGGCTGGATGACCGCCCCCACCCCCTCCCCCTTATCTGAAGGTCTGGATCCGCCACTGGCTAGCTAGGTAGGTAGCAACTTTATTTAATGAGGGTAACACATGACAGTAAACACTGATGAACTAGTGGCCCTCACGCTACGGTCCGAATACCTGTTCCCACTACACCAAAGTGTGACAAGTAACCTATCTGATATGTAACGTTCCACCTTCGAGATCGGCACGGCGAAGGCGCGGTGCAACTTCGCGCCGCTACAGAAATCGCGCCGAAATCACCTTTCTTATGGGTGAACAGATACCCTATCCGTTATGGTTATCGTGCCGGCGCAAAAGCTATCCGGCAGAGTCAGTGAGCGTAGCCTAAGAGACCAAAGAGTTAATGAGCTACACTTTACGGTTATCCAGTGGCAAGTGGTTAAAAAAAAAAAGCAATCAAACAAACCAACACAACAAAAACCTAGGACATCAGCATTTTATTATAGAGAACAAGCTATTTAGCCAGTCTAGACCAATTATTTATAAAATCAATTCCGAATCAATTGGTCTTAAGATAATAACAGTGTTTGTGGTTCTTACCCCGTAAAAGCTGTCATTTCACGTTGTTTATCTGTAGGCTGTGAAAGCAGCTAAGAGTGTCACCGGGAAAGAAAATGAGACTGAAGCCATCAGAGAATTTCGGAGCAAGCTGGACTCACCGGATAATTACTTCAACAAAGACCCGTTTCCTGACAATGAGTCGGATGCTCAGGCGCATGCGCGGTGCAGCACTATTGAGGGAGCCAAGAAATATTGTCCCATGCGATGGAAGGCTCTGCAAGAATGGTTTAAAGAGTCTAGAATGGTAAAAAGCTTAGACTGTCTTTTAGTGGGTTGAGAACATAGAAAACCCTAGGTTTGGTTTGAAAACATTTTGTTATATACCTCTTCGATTCGGTGGTGAATTGCAAGGAATTTTGCTGTGGAGAAACACTTTGATTTGAAAACGTAATGCCATCAAAGAAAATTAGGAGCCGGAAATGGCTTGAGGGAGCTCGAGGTTGTCCTTAGAAATTCCTAAATTAGCTGATTTAATCGGCTATTTTGTCAGCTAACAAACGAAATAGCGCACCATTAACAGAATCCCCTTAAGGCAAGTTGACTTTAATTTGTCTCTATAATTTTCAGGTGATGAGTATGCTCTATCCCAAAATAGTTGACATGTTTTACTTTGCTGGAAGAAAACACTCGACACCTAACTGTCCAGTCGAGTTAAGGCCCAGCCTGAACCCTTCCAGCGGTATACAGAGTTACCAGGAAAGTGATTCCCTGTGCTCCAAGCCCGCGTATTATAACATCCCATTCTTCTTGGACAGATTCGGCCCCAGGTCTTCAGAATGGAGTATAAACGCACATGAAGCTCGGCCTGGGCACCATATTCAGGTGAATAAGTGAAAACAAAAAAAATTATTCGTTCAAAATATTTCAGCGCTTTTGGTTGGTTTAAATCCGCCTGGTTAATTCTTCGTAACCAGCTAGCGTTGACAAAATTTGGAAGATGTTTACCGATACAATTGACGTCAATTGTGCTGATATCGACAGGAAAAGAGGCAGTAGAAGGCGCGGTAGCTGAGCTGTTTTGGCAGAGCTGAAGAAAAAGGCGCAAGATTTCGTACAGTCTGCTACACAGCCGTTTTGAGTGTCGTCACGCAACGCTCCTTCCCACAAGGAACGTTGCGTGACGACACTAAAAACGGCTGTGTAGCAGACTAGATTTCGTACGAAGAAGAAATAGCCAGTGCCTAAGATCATAGCAAGAATACACAAAAATACCACTCGAAAAATCACAAATGCTATTATTTAAAGAATAGCAGGATATATCTGCTGCCAATAAACACCCCTTCATATCTTGAAACTGCCGAGGACTGAATTAAAGAGACAGCCTGCGTAGCAAGCGCCGATGTTTTTTTAGGGCGAGGGAAGAAACTTTGAGGAAGAGCGCGCGCGCCCTATAAAAACTAACCAAAAAAACTAGCCGGCGCCTGCCATGCAGGCTAAGGAAGTAGCACATATTATGAAGACGGGAAATGTTATATAGTGCAGTAGTTTAAAATGCTTTAAATGAATATTAATCGGCCTTCATATGATATGAAGAATAATGCAGATCCTTGAGGGTGTTATCTATCCAGGCTTGATCTGGATAATTCTTTATATGATACTCAACTTCATTCGATAATTGCAAATTATTATCACCTTGATTATTATCATTATCATCATCACTATAACAAATATCATTAGTCCACTGCACATGTTGGGATGAGCAAGTTCCTGATCTTTTACTGGGTTCCTTTCTGACATTTATAATTATAATAAGCTACGTTTTTCTTTTTTATTTAGAATCAAGGAACAATAGAACATTTTAAGGATACATGCGGTGGTGTGATCGCTTGGCTGGACTCCAAAACATACTACACAGCATTTCAGGAAGGCTGGGCTCTTTACGCCGAAAACCCACTGATATCTGATGATACAGATGTGTATGATAACGAACCAATGAAAAAATACGGCATGTTGAAGTGGCAGGCAAGTGGAGTAAAATTCCCGAACCACTTTCTCTACGCCCATTGTTTAATCGGCGTTGTTGTTGTCCACTATTCGGATTTATCGTTAATCATTCAATGTTCAAGTATTATATTCCTTTTCCTTAGATTTGGCGGGCGTTGCGGATGATTGTGGACACAGGGCTTCACTACAAAGGAATGAAGAGATCTGAAGCTTTCAAAATGTTCGCAGAATATGCGTGGGATGATTCTGACTTCACACAGAAAGAGGTATACATATATCAGTCTACTCAGCCAAAATTGTGATAACGACGACGGCGACGACGACGATGACGATATGATGATGATGGTGGTGGTGGAGGTGGTAGGGGTGGTGGTGGTGGTGGAGATGGTGATGAGGATGATGGTGGTGGTGGTGGAGATGGTGATGAGGATGATGGTGTTGGTGGTGGAGATGATGATGAGGATGATGATGGTGGTGGTGGTGGTGGTGGTGGAGATGGTTATGAGGATGGTGGTGGTGGTGGAGGTGGTGATGAGGATGATGGCAATGATGATGGCGATGGTTACTGATTAATCATGGTGATGATAATGGTGGTAATGTTGATGATGATAAGGGCCCAATATGTTCAATTGATCAAGTGTTGGGGATAATAAAATGAGATTAATTCAGACGATGATGGCGATGACACGGATCGTAGCGACGGTGGAAGATGTTAGTGAAGAAGATGATGAGAACCATATTATTTTGATGCTATAAAAAAGTGGTATGATGAGATCTGCAGAGCACTCCTTGCATGCGCCTAAAATATAAACGATTGTGCTAGTTGTTTAATGTAATACACTTCTCTTTTGTACCAGGTAACTCGTTATCAGATGTTCCCTGGACAGGCTACGGCTTACATGGTAGGAAGGCTAGGAATTTTACAAGCTAGAAATTTTTCGACTTCTGCACTGGGGAAAAAGTTCAGCCTCAAAGATTTTCATTACCAGGTATTGGAATGGAAGTATTCGGAGTTTGGTCATGAAATGTATCTCACGAATGTGAGCCTGACAAAGAGATACTTAGTAGGTTGAGTGTGAACGTCAACAACCGTCCTATTCAGGACTACGTTCACCGGACGATCATACTAAACCTACTTATGAAATGACTCAGATACTAAGTTAGTTGAATAACGTCTCATTACGATAATAAAACGAAGCCGATGCGAGCTTTCAACTCCTTCTCAAGGCTGGATCATGCTGAAGTGATCATACCGTGCGATCACGTGAGCGTACATTAAAGCCACGCGACCTGGTCGTGGCGGCCCCGTCGTCGTTTAAGACGCACTGAGACGTACCTGTTTAGGTTGTAGAAACCTAAACGGTTTTCAACTAATTTAGTAGGACTAAACCTTAACCAAAGAAGAGAAAGACCATTTCACTGGTTCTTGGGGTGTCACATGCTCCTGACATTATCTAAAGTACATATCTTACGATTCCTCTCTTGAATTCTTTGACAGGTTTTAAACCAAGGATCCGCACCTCTTGCCTTCTTACAAGAGCACATTGAAAAGTATGTCGCCTGTGTTAATGAACCCAACAAAGAGGGATGTTCCTATATCCTTAATCCTCCAAAGAGGTCCCCACCCAAGAGTGGCGAAAAGAAACCTGAGACGCAGTTGTACCTTCAAGGCCACATACATTACGCTTAGGATCTGACACATACAGACTCACAACTGAGGCTCATTATGAGTTCCTTTAGTCTTAAAAGCAATGCATATTGAAACAATAAACATGCATAAAAGAGGATCATAGCCAATAAGCGTTGAAAAGGAGATTATTAGTTAACCCTAGGCGGATGGGGTCAGTTTCGTTCCATACGAAACGATGTAGATTATGGATTTCTGAACCATTAAGCTTTCAGCTTAACCGATTAAGTTAACAATCAACGAATTCGGTATGCGGTATCTGTGGTTTGTAAGTATAGCTTTACCTGAGAAACACTGAACAAATTCTTACCAAGCTATACAATAACAACTGTTGTTGTGTTTTACCGATTTTGGTACCTTGTATTTTCTTCTCTGGTATACATGTGGCCTACTAACAGCCTTTGAGGAGAGAGGGGCGCAAACGCGCCGTATAGGAACCTCGCTCAAACGCCAACGCAGAATCCGGCACGAAATCTAACACAGGAGCCTAAGAAAAAGTTGCACGAAAGCCAATACTAGACCCTTCTCGCCGATTACATACCAAGAGTGATGACATCACATAGTCTTCAGGATCAGTATATATTTTATACACCACGTGACAAAAACTTTCTGCACCTTCGGTTTCCTTGCGAGTTTGTTTACACGTCTATTTACAAAACTCTTATTGCTGTAACAATGTTATTTATTTCTATGTTAATAATTAAAGCAAAAGGATGCTAAATAAATTTTAGTCTTTTCGCTAATACACAACAGACTTCGTTTTCAATGAATGTTAAATACAGTCTATGTTGTTCGACTCTAACTGGTTCCATGACTGAGATGGTTAACTGTTTATCACACGTGGTTGGGTGTGGCACAGAAAACCATGACCAAATTGGTATTACTGTCTCTCAACTTGAAGTCATAATTTCGTGACTGTTGATGAACTTAACAGTTCTGTACTTCGTTACCTGACTCGTTCTTACATTGTAAATTGAATTAATCAAAAATGTTCTAGTGGTTGATATTGAAAACTAAGCTAAACTATGAATGAGAACATTTTTGAATGAAAAACGCTAGAGGTTATGAGCATATCTGTATTTTTATATACAATGTAATGAGGCCCTGACTGACAACTAAACGTTATTCAGTCATTAGAAAGTTTATCCGTCTCCGACAACAATTCGTTGGAAGCTTCCTCAGTTTGACTAGGATTTTCAGGCGCTCCATCTCTGGTCACTGGCATGTAGACAAACACCGCGTCATCATCCACGTGACTCATCGGCTCCCACTCCTCCAAGTCGACCTGATAAACCTCGCTCTCCTCAATTTTCACCCCACTATTGTAGGCAAAGTTTCCAAGTATGAAGAAAATATGATTTTCGATTTCTATAGCCCCGTAATTACTAGGGGGTATACGGGGTTGTGGAACGTCATGCCATTGGTCATTCTCTTCATCATAAACTTCCACATACCTGGATGGAATAAGCCCTCTTTGACGTTTGCTTGGCGGGTCTGTTTTGCCACCTGCCACATACAACCTGCCATTGACTTCAAATGTGCATGCGTGGGTGTGGCTGTGTTTGGTCCTCTCCAACTTTGTCCAGACATTTTTGGCTGGGTCAAATCTACAGGCCTCGCGACCAGCACCCCCATCTGCCCAAGAACCTCCGATGGAATAAATGCACCCTTTGTGTACAGCCACAGCACAACCATGTAAGCCTAGCTCTTCATGGAAAGAAATGTACTGCCACATCTTCTTGGAGAAACTAAATCTCTCTGATATAACACTGTGATTGGCCTCAGCACCGCCAATTACGTACAGGAAATCTTCACACACGCAGGCCTGGAAATTTTCATGGGCAGTCTTCATGGGTGGAAGCACTGTCCAAGTGCTTGTATCAATCTGATACTGGTGGACGTCTTTCTCATCAAAAAGGAAAAGGTGATTACCAGTGAAAAGTATGGCTGGCTTTCTTTGTAGACTTGGTAATTTAAGGCCATGGAGTGGTTCCCAGGTTTTGGACTCAATGTTGAAAAATTTGGTTCCACCTGTTAATGAAAGCGACACAAGGGCCTGGATAAAAAAATCAGAAGAGCAGTTGTTACTTAAATGAATGAAATAAATAGCTTTGAAAAAATGGCAAAAGTTTCAGCTACCTGAGATAAGGCCATATTTCAGCTTAATTAGCTCTATGCGGTCGTGAAAATATTTTTACCAGACTCGACCGCATAGAGAGAACACGCGAACTGCCAAAATTCGACCTTCATCATGGGAAAAAGACATCATCATGGGCGACCAGGCGTAAGCAGACACTATATACGTGCCAAAAAAATGACAAGTAAGGGTTTAAAAACAGTCTAACAATAATGGTTCAAAGTTAAGGCGCCACCAACATAGGTTCTGTTAGAATGTCATACATGTACGGCATCTGTTGCGTACCATTTTTGTTCGAAAAACCACTTGTCAAAAAATTTTTTTTTCAAATCGTTTCCCGTAAAAAACAGATTGTTAATCTCAAAAATCCAGATTTGGATCTGATCCGAACAATCCACCCTGAGTGTAGATTTTATGGGTTTATGATCCGTTTTTGGATTTGCCCAAAAAAACGCAAAATCCGTTTTTGGATTCGGAATCCGGATTTGGAACTAATCTCCAGGTTGCTTTTTCTCATGCGCGGCTCGTATGCAGGTAGAATTCTTTTGGGCAATCGTTTAGACTCCCACTAAGGCTATGTTCACACTATCGATCATTCTCTCTTGACTATACCGGAAAGCACGAAGTGTTATCCGTTATGGTGTAAACTGCAACGGCACAGAACTGGAACAAGTCGTGCAAATACATCGGAAATCATGCAAGAGGTTGATTCCTAGTCCTCTTTCCTACTTATTCACTTCCGCTACGGTCCGAATATCTGTTCACACTGCACCAAAGTGTGGCACAGAAACCTTTCCGATATGTGACGCTCCACTTTCGCGATCGCGCTACCCTATAGAAATCGCACTGACATCACGGTTCTTATGAGTGAACAAAAGCCCTATTGGGTATGATTTTCATGCCGGCGAGTGCTATCCAGTAACAAACACAATCTGATCACGTGCGTTTTGGCCTTCGATCCCTCTTGCACTTCCCCCCGGCCCCCAACCTAATAGTGTATCCCGCCATTCTTTGCGTCCAAAGAGACGCCTAATTACGAGGCAGCCGGCAGTGACACGAAACAGATTGCGTGACCTGTTAAAATTTATACACGGGAGGACGCACTTGCCTTAGACGAGACACGAGGCATTCCTTTTTCTTGAGCAAAAGGAGAACACAGAAATGGGCGGACATGCTGCAACAAGCACGTATGCATAAATGAGAAACACTCGGGAATCTTTCTGAACTCTTCGGATTCGAGTTCTTCAAGGACGACCATAATGTCAACGAGAACCAACCGCACTTTGTCCAAAAGTCTGGCAGAGTGCGACAACCTGTTTTCTTCGTCGAACTTGATCCAAGCAATCACGCTCTTGAAGAGAAATGTCTCTGACGGCACGCTTAGATCGTTGCGCGAAAGAAGGAGAAGCAACTCGTCTGCGGTTATGTTCTGTATGAACGCTGTATCCTCACAAATCTCTCCAAACTTTAACGCTAATGCACGTAAGATCTCTTCGTGTAGTTCTGCCAGGTGGTGTCGATCGGCCAGTCTTAGGATTTTTAGTCTTGTCTCCAGGTCGAATTTTTCCTCACTGAGATTGTTTATTATAAATAGGGAGCATTTTCTAACCACGCTCAAAATCTCTAAATGATCTGCAGCTTCCAAAATTTCGACAACACTGTTTTCATTTAGCGGAAGGATGGAGGAGTATATGAAATTCAGCAGCAGTTCAAATGCTTCTTCCGTCAAGCCATCTTCTTTCAGTTCCACCTCAGTCTGCGCGTGTTCTTTCATCCCAGCAGAAAACATCGCGTCAAAAAAGCGGCTGGAAGCAGCAAGAACAACTTTGTGAGCGTGGAAAGACTCTCCCTTTACGCGAAGGACGACGTCAGTGTATGATTGGTCCTTCCGCATTTTGTTCAAACATTCAAACATTTCCCGCGAATGAAGCTGCAGTTCCATTTTCTCCTCCTGCTTCTGTACACCCTGTGAGCGAGAAGCGTTCGTCAAAGATGGGCTAATAGGTTAATAAAATATTTCCTCTCTCTGCTTTTTGTATTTTTACTCTCCAATTCAATTCAATTATACATGCACTTATCCGTGTATCACCTTCAACTGCACGTGAAAACGATCGACATGCCATGTGATTTTTATGGGGCAACGAAAAGATGATTGGCTGCCGGTTACAAACCACCGTCTAAAACATTCATAAAAGATTGCATGTCTGCGATGTTCGTGAAAAGAAGCACGCACTGGGAAAGGATTTTGAACCCCGTAGAAAGTAATTATATTATCTAGCCAGTGCCAATATTTGTTCAATTTAACGTTACTAAAAAGGTTTTTTATCTGCTCTGGCGAGGACATCTAGTATACAAATATTAAAGCTCAGAGATATCATTAAAACAAAATCGACCGGCCACTAGGATTACGTAACAACCTTTTTGTTACGCAACCTGACATGATGTTCGAGCGATTCGAAGGAAATAATCGATTTTGTTTTAAATTGTAGCGCTGAGTTTTGAAATTTGTATACTTTGGGGTTCTATTCAATTTATTTACTATTTTAATTATTTTTATATTCCGCTAATTAAAAAAAAGTAACTACTTTGAAAAAAACTGCGCGTGACAGAATAAGAATAGCGTGAGCAAAGAATTAAGCCACCCACGCAGGCGTTTTTAGGAGAGTCGTATTTAGCTAAGAATACTCAACATAAAAAAAAAATCGTTGAGCAGCATTTTATCCTGCAGGCTAAGCGGGTTATCACTGTTAGCTAATGGCAAAATCTTATATATGTACTTTTCAACTGACCTTCAAACAAAATAATAATAGTAACAAGGAAAACAAAGATGAGTACAATGGTGTGGACAATAATTATTGCTTCCTGCAATTGCATCTCGCACTGCATAATAATTTATCCTCTTCTTGCGAGTCCAAATCAGCGCGAACCCTTAGTTTAAATTTCTCACACCGGATCGGATTATTTTACATATGCTTTATGCAAAATCATGACTAAATAACCTGCAGCGAATTCAGGTTTGACATGCAGGGAAACGACCGGACAAGTTATTGGTGAAATACATTTTCCCACCAGATCTAAACTGTTTAAACAAGTTATATGCCGCTCTTTTTTCATGCACCAGCAAACAAAAAAGATGATTTTAAGGCACATCATCTTTGACTCATGGGTTGTATTGATCTGTATTTGTCATAATGATTGTACTTACATGACAATAATGTATCTCCCAGTAACAGAATCAATAAGCTGCATCATTAAATATTTTAAATTAAATATTGATCACGGTCCTGTCACTGTGCTTTTTTTTGTCTGATTACAGCCTTTAGTAACAGCCTCTAACTCTCTACACCATGAGATTACATGTCATAAGTAGGTGGAATACATGTATGATCATCCAGGTGAGTGTGGCCCTGCATAGGACTGTTGTTGACAGTAACTGATGTGGCAGCTACAAAATGCAGGTCACAGGTCACAAGTGTAGGATAGATTACAGGTCACCATGCTACAGTAAATGAACAACACTAGTAGTGTCTGCTAGTCCAAATCACAATCCGAAATAGAGTGTTAGCTTAAGGTGAAACTCATGCTTATCGTAGTTCTTATCAATAGAGCAGTGACCGACAATTATTGTGATCAGTGACCTGTGACCTGAGTTTTGTACTGTCCAGTAACTGATGTATAGATGACCTGTGAGGTATTCATCTTCATGAACGCATCAGTTGTTGACCAGATCTTAAGTTCCATTTTTAGTTATTACTGTCAGATAAGCCATGATATGATACTATTGGCTATTAAAACTCTAAATGTGCTTGGTGTGTTCCATTCCATCTTTTGTCACAGTTATCATGGTCAGTATAACCAATCATATTTAGAGTCATCACAGCTTATCTGACAGATGACCACTGACGTCATGACTTAATTGACCAATGAGGTCAATAACAAGGGTTAAATACTATCAACTGATGTGATAATTATAATACACTTTTTGCTTCTGAAGATGACTACTGTATAGGTTGTTAACATGTCAGTCGCTTTTGAAAACAGTCCCATTCAGGGCTACGCTCACCCAGATGATAAACATGTCTTGTGTTCTTCAAACCATTCACCCAACATTATGGTGTAAAAGGCAATACGTGTAATAAATTATTGTTAAGATCTAAAAGCAATCAAACCTTAAAAAACCTTCAAAGAGTTTGAGAATGTCTCGGTGCCAACTTCTCATCAGTGGCATGACTGTAGTTAATAATAAATTATAATAACAGTTTTAAGAATTATGCTTTTCCCTAGTAACTCTTTTTTCTTCCTCCTTGATCCTGTGTAAAAAACAAACTCTTCTTCTGTTTCACTATTGATTCTAACGTCACATCTGAAATTTACCAAACCCCATGTTGATCTCACTTGCATCTGATATTCTTGTCAATATCTAATCATCGCTCTTGCTGACCTTCCATGCTGCTTCTACTTTACTGATGGCCGCTTCAAGAGTTTCTTTCTTTAATTTTAAATCCTCTTCCAGACAATTTAGCTCCTCTTTTGCAGATTCAAGTGATTTAAATTGTTCCAAAAATGAAGCAACTTTTCCATAAATTTGCTCATTCGATTGTCCTTTTATCTGCTTCTCTTCAGTACTTCCTCTATCTTCTGTTGCAACCTCTCCTCTATCAACAGTTTGCTCAAGTGCATCTTCTAAACAGACAGCAAAAGTAGTAACAGTAGAAGAATTTATCAGGCTGCAAAATATCAGGTGAGGGGCTGGGCAAGCAATGGGGAAGGGAGGAAGGGGAGAGCTTGCAATGACATATCAGGAACTTAAATTTTGTTTCAAGTGTCCACTGTGGCTACCTTGTCAGTACAGATAGGAAATAAGCTTTCAATGTAAACATCCCCATAACAACAACCCCACCACCGCCCCCCTTCTCCCAGCCTTCCCTGACAGCAAGCTCGCAGAATAGCTGTGATTAAATATATTGAAACCAACCTACCAATTAGGCACCCTTTCCCTTTCCCTTTACTTTCTTACAGGGCTCAAAATTAAAAGTAACCCAATAAACAATTGTTAGTAGATTTCAACGTTTGGTTACTAAAAATGAGCCTTAGTAACCCAAAACGATTAGTAAAAATTTTTGTCATAGAAAATCCTCTTACATGTGTTTCATTTGTGCAAAGAGATTTATTTTCTGTCTCGAACAATTTATTGTTCTAAAACGTCTGCTTACAGCATAATCCACCAACACAAAAATGCGCACTTCTCAAGTGGCTAATTAATTTTGAGCAACCTGTTTATTACACAGCTCAGATGTAGGCATCCTTGAATAGTTTTTTTCAGGTCACTGCCTGAAATTGTGGAGAAGAGGAAGATTGAGAAAAACTTGACAAGTATAACAAACAAAAGGTATAGTTTCAAAGGCTCCTGGAGGTGGTATGAAGAAGAAGGAAAGAACTTTCCACCAACAATCAAAAAAGGCATTCTCCTGGGTGCAGCTCGATGAGTCTAAGCAAACAATGTTTTGCAGGGTTTATAGAAAATTTTCCGCCCCCGTGTAACGTACATGTACATGTAATTGAAACAAAAATGTCAATTAGCATTAAATGGCTTTTTTTTTTTTAAAGATCATGTAATTTGAAACAATCCATCCTTGCATTAGTTTGCCCCATGCCCCATTTATTAGCACTATTTTCAATTGTTAAAATCTAGTTATTTCAAGAACAGATTGTTGGATAATAATCTTTAGAATCTGGTTGGTTTGCATTGCTGAAGTGTGCTGAAAGGTGGGGGCCAGAGTATGGCCCTAAGGAGGTTAAAAAAATTCCTCTCATAGATTTTTGTGAAATGTTGCAAACCAGAAGGCAAGCACTTAAAAGTATATGTAGAGTAGGGGATTTCCAGAGAAAGCACAAATAAAGGCTGAAATCCAATTAAATGCTAAAATAATAGTAACATCATTGTCATGTGACATTCAAATAATACAATCACCAAAAAAAGTAATATCTTAATACAGTTCAATCTCTAATCCACGTGTTATAATGGATTTTTGTACAAAGACCAAGTTCTTTAAGTATAAGAGGTTCAAATTAAAAATGGAAAAGGTATCCCCACAAAAATATTGGGTCCAGAACCTTAAGTCTTCATGTCAACCATGCTGGGTGCAGCCCAATTTTGGCAAGAAAAACATTAACTAAGTCACGATTTCCTTTGTTTCTGCCTTGCATATAAGGCTCCTATCATGATAATTTGGGCATTTCTACATCCTCCTATACTTCCGTTTTGATTTCATGGTGTTTTCCTATTTTGCAAGATTTACAATGCAATTAATTGCCTCATTATACACAGCACTATACAGAAAAGTTTGCAAAAGAATCTGCTAACGTATTTTAACTTACCCTCTTTTAGTTCTTTTTTCGTTCGAGTTCCGTGTTCTAGAATCACTGATTTAAAGATCACATCTTCGTCACTTGCTGCTGACAGATCTTCTAGAATTTGCTCTACTGTAGGTGGAGATGGAGCTTGGTGTACTTTTGAGCTAGACATTTTGAAGGACTCTAGAAAAACCATCACGGAACATCACAATTTTATAAAGTCAACATGTCACCCTTCACGTGGCCGCCATTTTGAATGTTAATGTAATATCCGCTGACTAGTAGGACGGTGGACTTACCATTCTCCCCATTCCTTCTCTTCCCAGTGTCTGCTGAAGAAATGCGGGGAAGCGGGAAATATTTTTAGGTATTCAAGGGGTTTTGCAGTAATGAAAAAGCTTAATCTTGGAAAGTTACGATGTTCCACTGCTTCCTCGAGTAAAGGTTACCCCTCAAGTAGTAAATCATCTACAAAGAACCAATCTCAGGCCACGATTTCTAGCTTCTTCATCAACAAGTCATGCTCAAAAGACGAGAACAAGGTCACCGCCAAATCTGCCAAATCAACAGTCAAGGTAAGGTTCTACTACAACACAGTCCTGAAGGGATTGTACTTAATTAACAATTAGAAACATTTACGCGATGCTTCCATTTCACTACCAGATCCAGCCTGATCAGGCATGGCTTCTCACTGAGGATTTCCCCCTTTCCCCTCCCCCCCCCCCCACCGGGTTTCACAAATACTGAGCCACCGGGAGGCTGTGTGTATTTTGTTTTATCCTTTTATCACTATAAAGAAGCGACGGCTATGTTGTCTCTCTTCCATGCTTTTCACCCAGATATACGAATGAGTCCCAGAGCTGTAGACCCTCTGTAACAGTTGAAACATTGAATTAGATGAGGACCCTACTCAGGGGGGGGGGGGGGGGGGGGGGGGGGGGGACCCCCCCAGGGGGGGGGGGGGGGGAGGGTGGGGGGAGACTGGGGGTGGAGGTTAGGGCTGTATTTTTTCTTGGCTGCAAACTGCTCAAACTGTATGGACAGTCTTTCATCATTTTTCAAGTGACAAAACACATACGTACTAGGATTAGAGAAAACTTATGGGGCTGATTGCTATGTGCATGCTTTCTGTGCAGGCAGGCTATGAGTTGGTTTCTGAGTGTGTCAGCTGTTTTAAGGTTTCTATCAAAGCTAGCATTTATTAAGCCTTGTATTGTTTATTAATTTATAAATTATAAATTGAAAGTCAATAGAGTGTAGCATAGGGAGTTGTTGCACAATCTCCCCAGCTGGAGTTGGTTGTATGTTGTCTGTATCATGGTATTCAGTATGCCCCTCCTTAAACATGTACATACATTTTTAATGGAGCTGGTGACAGACACCCATAACTTACGATTCATCAATTTCTTTTGTTTTGATCAGAGAACTGCTGCAAGCATTTTACTACATGATGGTGATGATGGTGATAGTCAGAATAATCGTAAGAAGCAGAGGTTTGATACTGAACTACTCTCCACTCAGGATGACAAGAGTCATGATCCTTTAACATCAACAGATAAAGAAGTCATAAGGCCTTCAACAATGACCAAATTAAGTTGTTTCAGAAAAGACTCAAATGTAAAGGATTCATCCACAAAGAATGAACATAGAAGAACACAAAATTCTAAAGAGTGTGTTGATGACAATATGGAACTTGATGATGACATGGACAGAACGAATTTAAGCAGTGGTTGCAGTTTTAGTGGTGACAACATGGATGATGTAAAAGACATGGATGTGAAGAAAACTGAAAATCTTCAGAAAGTCAGGCCTAATTTGGAGCAGTTTGCTTGTGCATCACGTCCAGCTCCATGTAAAACAAAACTTACAATAACAGAGAAGAGTGAACCGAATGGCTCAAAAAGTTTTAATGTTAAACCAAAATTAGCTTACACTCCACTAGAACTTCAGTTTGTAGAAGTAAAGTCTAACTACCCTGATGTTATTTTATTTGTTGAATGTGGCTACAGATACAGATTCTTTGGGGAAGATGCAGAGGTAATAATTCAATGTTTCCAACATACATGATTATGTAGTATGGGCGGAGTTAGGGCAGGTTGGTTGAGTGGACTGCGGCCACAGTCCCCTTTTGCTGTGAAATTTTATATTACTTTTAAAGGATTCTAAGTAAAAAAATAGTATCTATTATAACTACCACGTGTCCCATCCTCCCTTTCTGAATTTTCTGGATCCGCTTCAGTGTAGCTACTGAATATTTGCCCAAGGAGATTCAATATTGCAATGTACATAATCAATCAATCAGTCACACATTTGTTGATCTTTGAGATAAAGAGAATTTTGTTTAATCTGAGTCAAGATCATTGAAGTATTTCAAAGTGTTTTCTTCAAACCAAAATGAGCAACCTATTGAAGCAAAGCAAAGTCAAATTAAATCTTGTCTTGCTATTTATTGTGTTTTGTTTATACAATGTAGATAGCTGCCAAAGAGCTGAACATCTTTTGTCATGTGGATCATAATTTTCAAACTGCAAGCATTCCAACTCATAGGCTTCATGTCCATGTTAAAAGGTACATTAATTATTTTAAGCTTACTTAAAACTTTAAAATATTTATAATAATTATGAAGAAATATCAGAAGAACCCTTATTCGAAAGTTAATGCATGATATAAATATGTAACAATACAAATTATGCTTATTATTAAGTTAGACACCCACCTTAATCCAATAGGCTTTAGAGAGCACTACGATTTGTTTTTGTTTCGAGTTGCTTTCACTCATTAATTTTCGATGGTTTTAATCTGATTGCTTGTATTTCTTAAGTGGCGGCTTCTCATATAGAAACTGAACATTGGCACACAGTGCATCCAGACAGTGAGTGCATATAGTGGACCTTTTATTTTACCCCTGTAGATTGGTGAGTAAAGGTTATAAAGTTGGAGTAGTGAAGCAAACAGAAACAGCAGCACTGAAGGCAGCTGGAGAAAATAAAAGCAAAGTTTTTACAAGAAAATTACATGCACTCTACACAAAGACTACACTAGTTGGTGAAGGTATCCTTTTTGCGAACTTGAACAGGACCTTTCACACTGACCACATCATAACTCGAAAAGGGACAAAGACTATTCAGTTTCTGGATACTGTTCCAAAGGAGGAGTTGAATCAGCGGTTCTCTGAGGCTTTGGTTCAAAAAAATGCATTTCACATGTCCCTAATTTAATGCTTTAAATAAGGAAAACCTTTTTTTCTTTTCATTTGCATGAGATTCGGCACATGTCAAATGCGATATTTGAACCAGACTTAAGTAACTCTAAATCTTTGAATGCCAGCTACTATGCATTAAGATGGAAAAATGCCTTTGAACTTATTGATCAATCTGATAATATACATGTAATAGTTTAAATGCTGACCTTAATGATCTAAAGATTTGAAAATGCTGGATGATTTAGAGGAAACTCAGGATTCTGTTGAGATGGGAAGTGGCTATCTCCTGTGCCTTGTTGAAACTAATCTTAATGATAAGAAAACAAGTAGTGACATGGTCAAAAGAACTTTTGGCTTAGTGGTAAGTATCTTTGTAATCAAAGTTCCTGTTGATACTGTTCAACATGAAAAGCTTTGCAAATGTTTGTATTGAATATTAGAAAAGGCGTTCTTAATTCAGCTGAATGAAAATATATCCAGACAGCTGCCAAGAAGTGGGTTGTGCCATGTTTATCAAACCACAGAATAAAACACTCCTTTGAGCTTCTCTTATGATCAGAAAAATTCAAAGCAAAAGTTTACATGTTCAGAGTGCCAGTGATTATTTATGGGATTGTTCTGTTTACAATGCATAAAATGAGTTTGAGAAATGACGTTCAAAAAACCGATTCCAAGATAATTTAGTTTCAGTTCAACTGCTATTTAAAGAAAGTAAATTTTCTCTAAAGTTACTGTATGTAGCCAATTTGTTCACTAGTGATACTTATTTTCTCCAGGCTGTTCAGCCATCAACAGGTGATGTCATATATGATGAATTTGAAGATGGACCAGGTTTTACTGAACTGGAAACACATTTTGAGCACATCAGTCCAGAAGAGCTGCTGCTTCCAGAATCTGTTTCTGAATCAACAAACACATTTATTAAAGAATATGTCACAAGGCTGCAAAGGTCGGTTTACTAATATGTATAGTTTTATTTTTAGCTTTTTGTGTAAAATTAAATTACTGGTAACTCCATTCCAAATTTTAGTGTCAATGTACATACAGCATAAAGTACTAGAATATTATTCAGGGCACTGTTCTTGTAGTGAGAAGAAAATAATTAAGACACCACCCCACCTCCCCCCTCCCCAAAGATGCATGACTTGTATGACTGTAGTGCAAGTAGGAATCATGGGAAATAAAAAGCATCAGCTTAATGTATGTTTCTGTGGGTGTGTCTGCCCTGTTTGTCCTGCTTGTTGTTTGTTATGGGGAAATATTGCTAGCCTGTTCTCAGCCTGGTAACATTTTCATGCCTTCTACTAGAGACAGGGATCCCCTTTTTCATGGTCAGTCATGCTACTCAAAGGTCTAGCTGATTGTAAAGCAAGGGCAGTGCTTTCCTCATGTCACAGAACCATAATTTTGATCCTTGTCTGACCATTGCAGCTCTTTATAAATTTAAATATTTCTAATTCATTTTTTTGCTATAATTATGTTGTTACAGACCAGAAGATAGCATCAGACTAGAAAAAATGGCTGATCAACTGTATGAAGAATCTGCTGTTTTGACGCAGATCACTAAATTCTATGACCAGCCATTGCCTGAGAGAAATCCCCAGTTATGTAAAGTGAACATTGAAAGGGAATCACCCTTAAATGCTGACCAGGAAACTTCTACAGCCTTGGAAGTACTCTTGAATTTGCCAAAATCAGTGCAGATGTGTTTTGCTGCACTTATCCAATACCTCCAAGACTTCAAACTGGAAAAGATTCTCAGATTTACAAGGTGCTCATGCAGCTAATGCAATACTTTTTGTTGATTTTGTAGAATGTGTCATATAGCTTGCCTTGTATGCTTGACTGCTTGTAAGGCAAGCTACCTGTAAAATCAAATGTTACATGCAGCTTGCCTTGTTTATAACTTACTCCACATTGTGCAAAATTGTTGCACAAAAATGGTCATACATGTATCACCAGCCTATTAATGGTATTAACGGATGATGGATGGGGGTAAGGGATTGTAGATGTAGGGTTCTCATATGATTATGTTTTGAAGTAGGCAGCTAGGATGTAAAAGTAGGTGGCTTGACAGGCAATTGCTGAAGAAAATTTTAGGCTTTCATCCTCTCCCATTCTCCCATAAGACGTTTTCCCCAAAGAGTAGGCAGCTCAAATTTTAAAGTAGTGGGTTTTTAGCTGTTTTCTAGCACCTAGAGAGAACTCTGGGGACAGGAAAGGGTGAGTCTGGTCATGTATGGGTTTTAAACGCCCTTAAAAATTGTCAATCCTGGCTTAAACATGACTTTGAATTTGAAGTCAGGTTCTTTTATAACGTGATTATTATTTTTACGCTCAAAGTAGAAATTAGCATGAAGTCAATAACCCTTGGTCATGACAGACTCATGAGCGTCTCAAAGGGTGCCTGAAGTTTAGCTGCCTCCTCAAGTAACACATTCTCGAGAGAGGGGAGCTATGATCCTGGATTATGTCAAGTTTATTCTTTTTTATTGAATATATTAATTTTCTTCTATCCTATATGCAATTTAACATGTATGTAAGGTATAAGGTTTAAAATATCATTGAAAAGGTTTAAGAGGTAAGTTTTGTTCAAACAGTTTGAGTCACCGGTTTGAGATTCCTTGGACCTTTATAAATTCTTAGTCCATACATGTACGAAGTTAACTGATCAGAGTAAAACCTAACATTTTGGTGCCATCTGAAGTCCTAACATTCCTAAACAGACCTTTCTTCGACAAAAAGCAATCCTTGCGTAGAAGCTATTGAAATTGTTGTTGTTGCTATTTAAGGGCTTGTCTTGAATTTGTTTTGGTTCTTTCTGATCTTAGACAAATGGAAGCGAAAAGTCTTCATTATTCTGGGTTATTAACCACACTACAACTGCGTTTGGCCGAAGGCTGTTGAAGAAATGGATTTCAAGACCGCTTCGTACAGTCAGGTATCTTGTCACGGCATTTCTTGAGAATTTTTATTCCAGACATGGTTCAATTGATACAATTAAAATTTGAAGTAAACACTTGCACGTTCAGCTGCCGTCAAGCGCGAGTAAATATACCCAGGAAAGTGTCTACTGGATTTGCTTTTCCTCTTAATTGGTCAAGAATCTGGCAAGAAATTTCTGAGCTTATTATAGCTGGAGTGCATAATATACATACGTGAAAAGAAGGTTATCAAAAAAGTCTTAAAGTTACTGTCTTCACTCAACTTGAAAAGCGCTCTAACAAGATATTACAACAAATGCTACTTTATTGGTGCCTTTTATTGAATGGATCTGAAAAGTAGTTTTGCGGTCGTTTTCCTTTTGCGCTAGACTGTAAAACAGTCCGTATTTTTGCGTATTCAAGTACGCGCGAGCAGTCAAACAAAAGGTCTGGAATGAGGCTGAAAACAGAGAGCGAGACTGGGCATGTCAGGCTCGCGCTCCTCGCGCGCGTAAGACTCTTAGGTCACGCTTTATAGATTTCTTTACTGATTTTGAGAAAAAAACCGACTGTTTTGCAGTCTACTTTTGCGCATGCTCGGGAACTTTTGCCGCGCTTGGTCTTGGCCCCGCCCGCTCCCATATGAATCTTGATTTGTTCATTCGCGTAGGTTCTGTACCCTTCTTTTGTGTGTGCGAAAATAAGTGGCAAAAACCACTCAAAATAAAAACTGTTGTTTGGTTACTTCATAAACCATCACCAGGTGTGTTTTAGGTTTGGAGTTTTTCTCGATGTTACGGCTTTTCAATGTTCAGTAATTAAAACGCTTTTGGCTTTTATTATTAGCGCGATTGAAGAGAGATTGAGTGCGGTCACAGAATTGTGCAGCCCAAATGCATCATGTCTGTCGCATATGAAGGGCTTGTTATCTCAGCTTCCTGATTTAGAGCGAGGTCTCTGCACCATCTTCCACAAAAAGGTTAGTTTGATAAAACATGTGCTGACTTCTTGCCAGGATCGCTGTTAATTCATTTAGTCCGCTATAGCTGCCCTCTACGTTTTTGTTAGTCTTTGAAAGATATTAATTTTGCTATGACCATTTTGATGATAGTCACTAAACATACTTTGGTTCATGAAGTTTTTTGCTGTTGTTTTAGAGATCTTTGTTTTTAAAGGTGAATTTAGGTATGGTACATTAACTGTTACTAACGTATTAAACGAGAAGGTTACTACACTGCACTGTTGCGGCTTAAAACAGTTATTATATCACAAGCTATTTATAAACTCTGTAGCAACATAGATCAAAAATCAGGCACGTCAGGCAATATTAGCGCTTGGCTTAGTATTTTTAACATTTGAAATTTTCAGCGTTTAGTCTCGTACTAAATGAAGTCAATGATTTCGTTTGTTTTTCTTAATTTCAGTGCACACCAGCAGAGTTTGTAACGATAACAAAATCACTCGTTAATCTGGCCAAACATCTTCAATCAAATCAGCAAGTTGCCACCAGTAAACTAGAATCGCCGTTATTAAGAAGCATCTTCGCGGAGGTATATGGAGTATTAATTTTGTATTTTTAATAAAACACGGCTGCTCTGAGATGATTCTCGTTTAACAAGTCATGCTCTAAAAGTGTTTTTAAGACATGAAATTTTCTACAGTGATCCTATATGCAGTTTAATCGGTTTGCTGACGACGCTAGCTTTTTTTGCGTTTTAGTACCGTAAACGTTTCTAATAAATAATATTTCGTACTTATTGATTAAGGCAAGTGTCAATTTTTTTTTTCTTGTTGCAGGTTCCAAATTACTTGAATGATGTTGGCGATTTCTTGAAGCTAGTAAATGAAAAGGCTGCTAAGTAATGAACATTTGTTGTTGTTGTTTCGTTTACTTACAGTGTATTGGATCGGTTCCAGTTGCGTGTGGAAAGAAATTTTGCGATTGCTGTAGTCTCCCATCCCAACGTTTTTTAATAATTATTGACTCAAATAAACATCACTCTTAGCCTCTTTTTCAAAGCAGCGAGTCCTGGCGCTAATCCTTGCGTATGAAAATAAGTCCTCATTCAAATACAATGTGAATGGCTATGCACCAAGCCTGGTTTTGAAAAAGAGACTTGATACGACTCGGAGATTAGCTGTTAAACCACACCGTTCGATCGTTAAAGTTGCTATCGTGAATTGATTTTGTGAGTTCAGACTGGGAGATACGAAATACTCGATATAGTGAGTGATAATTCCTATTTATTAAACCATCGACTTTCGTTTGTGACAGGGAAGGTGACAAAACTAGATTGTTTGATGATCTGACACAGTTCCCTGAAATCATGAAATGCAATCTGGTAAGGCCTTTACAGAATAGGTAGAATGCGTCATAATTTTTTCTCTTCTTTTTTCCCCCCACACTATAGCGATCCAAGAATTCTGCTGTTTCCTTTAACTTAAAGCGCGCGCGTAAAGGACAACAAGAAGGTAAACTGAGCAAGGAGAGACGCTCTTCGTCCGCTGTTTTCCTTCTCACCCTAGTGCGATGCGCTTCACTCGGTTCCAGTCTCAAAAAAATGATGAGTTTCGCGTTATCTGGCGCAATCTCCTTTTCACTGGCTGAAAGCCCACCACTTGACCTGCAAATAACTGCCTACAGATGATGGTCTGCTCAGGTGCATTCGTCCACTAACTGAGTTTGGCTGCAAACAATATTTTGCTTATGCGTACATGAAGCCACGCTTTTCTCCTTCTTTCGATCGCTCTTGCGTGAAAATGGCGGATCGCTTCGCTCAACGAATATATTCATTAAGAAAACTCGGTGATCGAATGATGAAACAATTATTGAACTCGGTTATCGCAAAATATTTTGATTTGTCAGTCTCTCTGCTCGCCACTGACAAATCACGATATTTCCTCCTCAATAATATTGTTAATTATTCTCGTTCATTACATTGCGGCCACGTATTAAGTAAAGTTCGACGTTTGAGCCTGGCCAAAGTCCAGCCCTTTTTCGCCTTTTTTGTTTGAGACTAACTGTGATGTAAATATTTGCATGCATCTTTGTTTGGCGCATAGGAAATTGACAGGATTATCGCAGAGTTGAAAAGCCATCGATCTGAATTCAGACAAGTTTTACGCCATCCATCACTGGACTACTGTTGTGTTTCAGGAAATGAGGTATCAGAGAAGTTTAGGAAGAAGAACTTATCCTTTGTTGGCAGAAAAAGAAGTCTTATAGAATAGTACCTGTGTTTTGCTAAGGGATACTTTGCATCCTTTACTAAACTAGTACCCGCCTAGTCAGCTTTGGCTAACTTGAATATCATGAATGTCATCAAACTTTAAAAATCTACACGGCCATGTTGGGCATAATGGTAAAACTGTTTAGATAGCAGCATTCTACTGTATTGAAACAGTTCATGAATCAGCTTGTAAATCAGATTATTTCCCTTAAACCATTTGTATTTGAGAAAAACTAGGCAATATATAATATGGTTTTGGTGTATAATATAAATTTATCTCACAAAGAGCTGCAGTATAGATGTTTTTCTTCCGTTTTGTTCATTTTGAAAGTCACTGTCTTTTTCAGTTTTTAATTGAAGTTAGAAATGCAAATTTGAGGATGGTACCTTCTGACTGGATTAAAATCAGCGCGTAAGTATAGTTAGTTATGTTTTGCATCTTACTACGCGCGAAAACCTGTTTGTTCTTTTACAATGCGAATGATGAGCAAATACAAATAACTTTTTTATTAATGTTGGAAGTTTCTTAAATTGTGGCAGGCTTGAATTACAGGGTAGGAATTCTTATAAAAATGAGGTCATCTTAGGAAAATGAAAGTTGACGTGTTTCTATAAAGGAAATAAGTAAACTGTAGTCTCGAGTCTTGATCAATCTCGAGCAAAGATAATAGAGCTTTCGGCTGCAACTGCGGCCTTGACCACTGACTATAATTATGTAAGCACGCTGACGTGGTTCTGAAAGCAAAAGTTGGCCGGTTTGGGACATTGTGTCTCAGGGCCCTTTAACACGTGACATGATTAGATTTCTTCAATTGCAAGGTAATTGGAATTTAGCACTATCCCAGTTCAGGTATGGCGGCCTTATTCAGCTACCCCTCCCGTACATAGCACTCTTGTACTAGTCACCCTCCCCCTGCTTAAGATCGGTCCAGTTCCTCAACAGGCAGTTCATGTAATTTTTTTTTTTTTCGTAGAATAAGTCTTTTCACGTATTACTCATTAACTTCTTACTTTATGAATAGTTTGTTTGGTATTTGATTGCGCGGCAATGGATCATTCATGTTTTTGTATCTACCAGCACTAAACAAGTATCGCGATTCAGAACACCTTTTGTTGAAGAAAAGTTCAAGATCTTGTGTCAGTGGAGGGAACAGCTGTCTATCGCAGCTCACGAGGCGTGGTTGGAATTTTTAGCGCTATTCTCAGAGGGATGTTCCAGATATCGCCGGGCTGTTCATTGTATCGCTACTCTCGACTGTCTCTTTTCTCTGGCTGCTGTTGCTAAGCAACCAGGTTTTGTAAGGTAAGGTGATCTAAAGCTCCGTTCAAACGGTTTCAACCAATTTCAACCAATTCGGATTGGTTTCCGTACGCTTTTACCTGTACAGGAATCGTACAGTACCGTTTACTGTTGGAGATCGCGCGTCTTTTTTTCGCTTAGATTGTTTTATTTTTGCGACGTCCCTACTATTTGAGAACCTGGCACTGGCCACGAGAAAAGCGACGAGATAAAGGAACTGTGAGGTTTCACTATAAAAAAAACTAAGTTTATCCCTTGTTTTGTTCAGGCTTCTGAATTTTTTTTTCATTTTCTATGTCCTTCTGGTTAACCTTTTGTTTCGTCGTTTCAGGCCGTTTGTGAGGGACTGTGAATCTCATATTTATATCAAACAAGGACGACACCCCGTCATAGATAATCTTTTGCCCGAAAACGAGCAGTTTGTACCAAATGATACAGACATGAATGTAAGTCAATATTGTTTAACTGGCTCTTACGTGTTTTGTCAGTTGTCTTGTGAAGCGGAGTCTTTATATATCGAAAACTCCTTTATATCCCGAACCAACAATTCCGGTCATTCCAGGACCAGGGTGTGAATCCTTTTCATCTTCATACATTCATTTACCAAGGCAAGTTGGAGGTCTACTGAGTGAACGCCGGGTAATTTCACGTGTATGAGTTCAGCTATGGTTATTAGACATAACTGTTAAGCGATATATTGCTACGGACTTAACATAAGGTACCCCGCGTTTCTGCCTGCGCGGGCACGGGTAGGGGACATGTTTCTCCTGTGTTAATATATAGTCAAGGGGACCATGTTTTCCTTATCATTGTATTAAGTATTATCACTCTACCCGGTACGAGTAATTTACTACACTACCTGCATGTACACCGGAAAAGGTTTGTCTCCAAAGAATAATTACTGTAGTTTCACTTATTTTCAGGTAAATGATAATCGTTGTATGATAATTACTGGACCGAACATGGGTGGAAAGAGCTCTTATATCAAACAAGTAAGCATAAATTCAGTTCTCTTCAGCTCTTTTCCTTTTCGACGTTTACTGTCACTTATGGCAAACTGTAAGGCAATCTAATGGCTGGATAGTACTTAAAATAATCTTGTCCTTCTGAAGCGAGCGCCACCAAACAATTTCACGAACGTCGTACGTGTAAAAGTAATGAAAGAACGAACGAAAAACAGAGCGAGGGAGCGAGCTCGAGTTCGCGTGCAGCTTCGCCACCCATATACCTGACAACATGTCGCTGTGATAAGGTAGTAAGTGCTGTTGTAGAAAACGCTTTTTATTAGAATTGAAACCTGACTGACCCTACCCCACATAGGTTGCCTTGATTGTAATTCTGGCCCAGACCGGCTCTTATGTTCCTGCCGAGGAGGCGAAAGTTGGAGTTTTGGACGCGGTTTTTACCAGGTATTATCATTAGAAATAATAGAGAACAAATGAAAGGCTAAAATTTACCTCACATTCATATTTTATTCGTATAAATGGATATGTTAGTCCTTTCTGGAGCGGTTTTAATGACAAATGATAAGTAGAACGCGAGGAGTTATTCTTCAGTAGTGTTTGAAATAGTTGTCACTGCATGCTTTACAGGATGGGAGCTTCAGACAACATTTACAAAGGGCAGAGCACGTTTATGGTCGAACTTCAGGTACTTACATACATTTCACCTTACTATAACTAAAATCGCCAAGAGAAACAACGAACTGTTGGGTCTTGCCAAACCTGACAAAAGGTTGCACGAGTCCTCCTACTGTAGTTTGGAGGTGAAGGTGAATAGTTCTTGAGTTTTATTAATGACTATCGCGTCGTTACTTTGCGGTCGTATTCATGAAGATTAAGAATGGAAAAAAGTAAGATGTTTTTTTTGAGTCATGTTTTGGCAAACTAACAGTAAAGTAGGAGACTTGTTGCTGAGAATGCTAGCTGATTGTAAACTTGATTCTCTTCCGTTTTAGGAAACATCGGACATTATTGCCCAGGCCACTCCAAAGTCACTGGTTATCTTGGATGAGCTGGGCCGGGGTACTAGTACCCATGATGGTACGGCCATTGCTTATGCTACGCTGCATCACTTTATTAGTAAGGTATGTGTTCTAGACGTTAATTCCGTGATTTCATATTCTAGACTGAAACAGCAGTTGCAAACGCAATATCTTGCTGAAACTGTGTGCCGATCTCACCTGGGAGAGGTCGGTAGACGCTCTATCAAAACCTATCCATTACTCAGTTTAGTGTACGAGAGATAAGCCGGATCTTCTTCGTGCAAGTCAAAAGATCGTTATTACCCCCTGTTACCCCTGTTACCCTTTGTTCCCCCTTGTTACTCCTCTTACCCCTTGTTACCCTTCGTTCCCCCTTGATACCCTTGTTACCCCTTGTTACCCCTTGTTTCCCCTGTTACCCCTTGTTACCACTTGTTACCCTTTGTTACCCCTTGTTACCCCTGTTACCCCTTGTGAAGGGGTAACAAAAGGGAACAAAGGGTAACAGGGATAACAAGGGGTAACAGGGGTGACAAGGGGAACAGGGGTAACAAGGGGTAACAAAGGGTAACATGGGGTAACAGGGAAACAAGGGGTGAGAGGGGTAACAAGGGTAAAAGGGGCAACCAGGGCTAACAGGGGTAACAAGGGGAACAGGGGTAACAAGTGGTAACAGGGGTAACAAGGGGGAACTTAAATCTTAAATTATCTGTTAGGGTATTCACCGCTGGTATTTGGTTATTTTCCCCGCCACGGCAGCGAACAGATGATGGGGAACGGGTGCTCTCTTTAGAGCGGGTCTCCGTAAGAACCGACCAGTGATTTGGGATCAAAAAATTAAGTTTCCTCATATTCTGGGATATTAAAGTCTTTACCTAATTAGTTACAAAAATGCATTTTTTGACCGAAATTGCGAAATATAGTTTTTACGAAATTTTGAATTTTCGGCCAGTTGGCCTTGGCGCCATAGCCTTTGAAACTGCAAAAATCACCTACATTGCCGGCGCTACAGAAAACAAACAACTCGTTCAAGAAGGCCTATTTTCTTCTTAATATACGGATACACCACTCTAGATGTCCTAGCCATATCACATTTCCGAATTATTTATTCATTTTAACGGCAAGAATGTTTTTCGTGGCACGTGTTATCAGCCTTTCATCAAAATATGAAAATAGCTTCAAGGTTTAACGAAAACGTTTTCAAGGGTTTTTCGCTCGACCTTCTCTTTATGTACAATTGGATTTACAGTTTGTTAGACAACTCAGTAGGCACAGGTTATGAGCTCCTGATCGGCATTGAGAATACTATGACATTTACCTCCAAATAGACTTTACTATCTTCGTACCAAACCTGGGCCCCACACCCACCCTTCTAAACCCCCATTAATGCTCCTTTTTATCGGTATTTACAGCTACTTAAAGCTACACGGAAGGGAAAGAAGTCGAAAAAGGGATTGGAGGTCACATTTGGGGATCGACCTCGGGACTTCTCCCATAGCGGGCGGCGCAATAACCAACTGTACCAATCCTTGTTCCTCAAAAGCTAGTGCAAACGCAAAGTAGCGCAGTAAAAAGCCTACCTGACCGAGTGGGAATTGTCCTTCCAAAAATTGAGTGATGTTACCCATGATCATTTTTTAGTTTTTCCTTGCTCCTAAATGAAGAAGATATTGACACGTCCTTAAAGGGCGCCAGTTTCGAGCCAGTTGCAGCTCAAATAATGATCAATTATGTCTCACACATACGAACGGACCCGCCCTGACGAATATTAGTTCGTATTTTAAGTTATATCTTTCTGTCATTTTTGCAACATCCTTACTGAATATTTCGAAGCTCGAAAATCTCTACAGGTAGATTTTCCCAAGTCCGGGAAGGAAAACTTTGTTGAAGAAATTCAGGAAATTGCTACCCCTTGTCTGCTTCGTGTCCAGTCGATGAGGACTGAAATACAAAGTCACGCATACAACTACGCATACAGTATTTCAAATACATAACTGGGCTAAATCGCTTTCTTACCGACTTATCGCGTCACATTTGCGAACAAATTAGTTTTATTTGCCCAAGAAATTTTACTGCCATTTCTTGAGGAGTCGATCTTAATGAAAAACTATTTTTAGCAAAGACCTCGAGGTCGGGTGTCACGAACTAGTCACGCTAGCGGATACGACCATTTTACAAACCAGATAACATTGCAACAAAACAAGTATAAACACGGAATCAACCGCCAATATAGTTTCAGATGATTAAGAAATAACCTTAAAATGGAAAAGAGCTAAGGTGAGACCCATCAAGCCATCAAATGAAGTTGGACTTTAACGAGTAAGGCGACAAGGCAAGTGTTCGTTAATTATCAGGTCTTCAAAATTTCTGGAAATTCAAACGGCGGTCAAGTTCGAAAACGTTGAGAGCACAAAAATTTTATTCCTTTTTACGTTTAACTATCATTTCTAGTTTGTATTAATACAGATAGCAAAATTCAGACAGGTGCCACACTTTTTTAAACTGCCCTCAAACATACTCAAAGTTGAGCTATTTTCATGTTCTAATGAAAGGTCGATAACACGTGCCACGAAAAATATTCTTGCCGTTAAAATGAATAAATAGTTCGGAAATGTGATATGGCTAGGACATCTAGAGTGGTGTATTGGTATATTAAAAAGAAAATAGGCCTTCTTGAACGAGTTGTTTGTTTTCTGTAGCGCCGGCAATGTAGGTGATTTTTGCAGTTTCAAAGGCTACTATGGCGCCGGTGCCAACCGGTTGAAAATTCAAAAATTCGTAAAAATTATATTTCGCATTTTCGGTCAAACAAAATGCATTTTTGTAACTAATTAGCTTAAGACTTTAATATCCCAGAATATGAGAAAAATTAATTTTTTGATCCGAAATCACTGGTCGGTTCTTACGGAGACATACTCTTAAGCATTCAAAAACGATTTCGTCAATTTTTTTTCTCGCCGATAGGTGTCCAGCCTGACCCTATTTGTAACACACTATCCGTCACTGGCCGAGCTAGAAGTAGCTTTTCCAAAGCACGTTACCAACAATCATATGGCCTTTATGACGTCACAAGAGCAACAGAGTGACCAACAGTGCCCTGAGGGAGGGGAGGGAGAGTCTATACCTTCAGTCACTTTCTTGTATCACGTGGTAAATGGCGCTGCTGCGAGAAGCTATGGGTTGAATGTGGCGCGTCTGGCAGGAATTCCAAGTGAAATCCTTAACACGGCCGCCAAAAAATCACACGAATTGGAAAATCAAATCACGCATCGGCAGTAGGTAGTCTATGATTCATCTTTTGAATATTCCAATTTTGATATCCATAAGCAATTTCCTGCGCGGCCTTTGTAGAGGCAAGTGATGAAGATGTGATAGCGAGTTTATATAAGTGCCATGAGGGCAATGGCGGTGAAACAGCACTTATAAAGTTAGTCGCATTCTTTTAAGGAAGCTTCATTACGATTATTTACTCTCGTAACTTTTTTACAGCATGCCAATTTTTCTGAACTCTTAGTGAGTTGTTAAGGAATAGAAAAAAAATCGTTGTCAAGTGTATCCGTCCTCTATAAGTAAAAGTCGCTCCAGCAAATTTCCTGTCGTAGTCGTGTAGTGACTACGAAGAATAGCACCAGAGAGTGTGATGCAAGAGCTCCCTACTGATTTTTTGAAGCTGTCTTTGCTGTTACCGTTGCGGTTTCTTAAACATATGTCACGCCGTCACATGGTTTCGAATCTCCTTCTGGGAGCTTTCCCTTTTCCCTCACTTCAGTTTCCAGCCTTAAATTTTTCTTATCTCTGGTTTATCTCAATATGAGAAGTGTTTGTATCACGATGATCAGTGACTTTCAGACGTTGAAAGGGTTCGTTTAACACGTATAGGATAATTTGAAGTTAGATTAAAATTTTAAAACCGATACTGGAAAAGAACAGCTAAGAGTAGTTTAGTAAAAACTGTCTGGCTTGTGCTTTTATATTTAGCGATTTTCTATTAAGAAATCTAATAACTCCATGTCTTTTTAAAAAAACCTTATAATTTACCGTATCTTAGTCTAATGTTCATCACTGTTAACCATGAATTGGGTTATAAATTTATAACCCCGCCTATTACGACATGTGCAAGTTTTTATGTCAGTTCTCTTTTTTCCTCTCTCTCTCCTTTCTCAGCTATATGAAGACTATTTTTCAAGACATTTGTTCAAGCTCATCAGTGACTCCTGAATCTATTAAGAACTTGAGGGACTCTTTGACAACGTTTGCACCTGGTTAACACGAACAATCAGTTACTCCTGTAATTTTAACTTATAGAAATAGAGAAGCCCTTTAGACAGTATTTAGTTACCGAGGTTCATTGAATATGAGTGAGTAAAAGCAATATACAGTAGTATCCCGATTTCTCGAACACTCGGTTTTCGAAATTCCCGATAACTCGAACCAAACCGGACGTCCATTTACCACTCAAACGCTGAAATCTTACGCAGATTTTTCAAGCCTGCTGATACTTTGAACCTCGTACTTTTTCCCCTGGTGGTTCGAAAAATCGGAATTCCACTGGAGACCTTTTTTTCGTTTGTGATAACTGTAAATAATGCTGCGAGGATAGGGTCAGTGCACTCAGTCATTAAAATACTCTAAACGTTTCTTGTCTGATGGGTGCATTGCACTCCCGGACCCCTTCCCTCTCCTCCCTGGATCCGCCACTGAGTGTCTAGCATACAAAACACACAGATAATGTTAGTATTATCGTAGCACCTGGGAGCATTAGTAATAAATAGTTTGTCAACCTTAAGAAATGAAACAAGTTGACCTAGATCAAGACGTTATATGGTAGAAAAGAAACGGGGGTGTAGCGTCAATCTGGAGTGGCAGATGGGGATACCAACAAGTTGACAATGGAAACCACAAGCCCTTACAGAGGTTCATCTTTCCCATCAACTCAGAGAAGAAAAGCAAAATTCTCTTTTGAAAAAGTCAGAACACGACTGCATTTACATGTTCAAGAATTCAGGACTTTCGTGACGCTTTATATGACGTAATTAATAATATTTAAGGTCACGCGATCATGCACTCCCGCTACGCGCTGAGTCAGACTTATGGAGGGGAATACTGGACAAAAATGTTCTTGGATCGTACCATAAGGTGCATTATATCGAATTTGCCTGTATACTGTCTTACCGTACCCTGTATGCTGTTATGTCGTACTCGGTGATGTTGTATTGTAACCGGAACAATGTATTATCGTACTCGGTAACCTTATATCGTAACCAGAATGGTATTGTATCGTACCCCAATGTTGATGTATCGTACCCGGTAGCCATGCATCGTAACTTGTATGCTGTTGTTTCGAACTCAGTAACCTGATATCGTAACCTGAATGATATTGTATCGTACCCGGTAAACTTATCTCGTAACGTGAGTGATTTTTTATCGTACCCGGTAACCATAGATTGTATCCAGGAAATTGTTACGTCGTACACCACGACCGTATATTATAGCCGGGATGCTGTTATGTCGTACCCGATAGCATCATATCGAGCTTTCTTTCAAGTCGTACAAGGTGAAATTATGCAATATGGTGAGCAGCTTTCCAATTTGTGCAGTTAGTTACTTCATAAATGATTATTATAGTGAACCGTATATGTATATTGAGCTTGCTATCATAGGGTGCTTTTAATATATCATTTGTTGCTTTTAATATACGGTATCATTGGAGTACGATACAATACCATTCTGGTTACGATATAAGGTTACCGAGTACGATAATACATTGTTCCGGTTACAATACAACATCACCGAGTAC